GGTTGATATTTTAACAGACTTATTACACAGGAACGTTTACATGCTGCTAATGCTTGTTAAAGAACCACGATAGCCGGTTATAATCGTAGTTGATTAGTTAGTTCTATCGACTGAACTAATTAGTTAAGTTTAAATACTAATCAACATTGACATGAAGCAACGAAAGTTCACAGCAATAGATTAACATAGGCGACGATAAAAATGAAAAAGAATAAGTTTAGAACGCAATAATAAAGACTATAATGATAGGTTGAGTTATTCGAAGTCTTGCTCACCAGTGTAGATCTACTATACGAAGCTAAAACTTGGAGAACTATAACAACCATCATCAAGAAGGTACAAGTATTTATGAATAGCTGTCTACGCAGGATACTCAACATCCATTGGCCGGATACCATCAGCAACAGCCTTCTGAGGGAGAGAACAAACCAACTTCCAGCTGAAGAGGAAATTAGGAAAAGACGATGGAAATGGATAGGACATAGATTACGGAAATCATCAAACTGTATCATGAGACAAACCCTAACTTGGAATCGTGAAGGGCAGCGGAAAAGAAGGAAGCCACAGGACACATTACGCTGAGAAATGGAAGCAGATATCAGTAATACATCCATTCCCTTAACCCCAATCAGTGTGACAGTTAATTGTAGCTTAAGAATAAATAACTGTGTTTGTTCAACGACAATGGATTTGTTACGACCAGCAGCTAGCATATTACCACTCCGAATATTTATTTGTTTTACTAAGAAATACCCGGAAATCAAAATATGGACTGGCGAAAGGAGGATAATTGTCATAATAAGTGAATGAGTCGTTTGCACAAAAAATATGAACAGATGAAGCGAAGTAAAACATGGAGAATTAAATGTTATGGTTCGAATAAATGTTTGGTAAGCATTTTGTGACTGATCCATTCATAGCTTCCCGCGACCTTATATATCGAAAAAATTAGCTGTTATTGAAAGTTTTCAACTTTCTACCCATTTTCAGGGGGGTATAACTGTAGAATTATGGTCTCCTTCTTTATTATTACTATTGTAATAGTAGACGTAATCCTAAAATTATAGATATGTCACGATGTGATTACCTAATCTATGAGATCTTACTTTGAAGTCCCATTATTGTCTACACCGACTCGTCGTATCATAAGAATCAGCAACATGACGTCTAGTGCTTTTGGAGAATAAATTTGCGCCAAAGATAGAATAATATATTTAGTGTGAGTAAAGACAAGTTATACATAGTGACCACATCTGAAAGGCTAAGCCATGCCATCCGACTGAATTCGATTGAATTTTCTCGCGTTCACCATTGTTAGCCTTCTCTTCGTATTAAGTGTTGAATATCTATTTTCCCAGTTATTTCACGTTTGGCCTAGAGGATTATATGGTGCGTAACAGCTTAGGCTGATTGGTTAAGAGTTGACCTCAAACAACTAAGTATATGTCAAAACAACAGAGTTCAAGTATTCATCCACTTCCTTATTTTGTATAGGCATTATATTTCCTATTATCTTATGTTGAGTGTTGAGGAGCTTTGTTTGTCTGAACAGGAAATCTCACGCTCACTCCGACTTTGCGAAGATCTAAATAAAGGCCTACTCGCTACTAGTTCGGTTTCTTCTATCATTAGCACGAGGGTTGCCTACAGGCACGAAAGGTGATGACCAATACGACTACACTACTCTCCAACTAGAATCAATGTTACGTTGGTTCGATGCCATATCGTGTGAAGTTACCAACAGAATGATAAGAATCCTCCGAATATTAGTAAGCTGAAAGATAAACCAACAAGACTGCGGCAATTGATAGGGAAATACATGTATTTATTTCAAAATGCTTGGTTTAATTCTAGACACGCGCAAAATAGAAATCTATGTGAAAATCTTTTAAGAGTTAAACAAAGAGAGGTTATAATAATTAAGAATGATTTTGTGTAGAGATATTTGAATAAATCACAGGAGGATACATAGTAATAGTCGTTGGTTACTAGCCTGACTCATGGGCAGTATTAGTATTTTGTGCTTAGCAATAGAAAAACAACCAATGTTACGTCGACACTGACATCGGTATTACCTTTGGTTCAAATTAGAACGTCCGTTGACGTTTATATCGGTATACTGTCCGTATGAGTCGATTTCCAATTGCATTTGGATTAACAGGCTAACTGAAGGAACAAAAGTATGACCGTAGAGAAGAATTCTAACTAATATTCTAGTTAGTTTGTTAAGTTTAATACGGTTTATCTAGTTACAGGGAGATATTTTTGATCTCGTTATTGTTTGATCGTGATAGGATTTAATAAAACTACTAGTACATACGATTAGTTACCAGAAAATTCTTTCAGTACGGGAAAGTTGATAACTATGTGAACTATTGACATATAGCTAGGAGTAATTATTTAGACACGAGTGTATTCATAAGAACTCTGCCTTTAGCTCTTCTAGAGTTACTGCCGGCCCCAAGCCCGGGTAAAAGAGGAAGATCGTGTATGGGGTTGGCGATCTTACCTCCTAGAAAGCTAACTCGCTGAGAAAACGCTAACTAGAAAAATAATTCAAACTACTTAAACTCTGCCCTGGGAGTTTGGAAGTCTTCACTTAGAAAAGTTATGACGCCTCATGGTGAAAACTGAGCTCCTTCGGAAGTCACAAGTCCGATGCCCGTTCTAACAACCAGAGTAACAGTTTTTATAGGTAAATGGAACGTCCGGATAATGTGGGAGACCGAGAAGACCAGTCAAATATCAACGGAAATGAGAAGATACGAACTGGCAGCACTGGGAATCAGAGAAACCCATCAAACCCAAGCTGGAAAGCCAAGACTAGATACGAGAATGATGCTGCTATACTCCGGTCATGAAGAGGAAAATGCTCCACACATTCAGGGAGTTGCTACAATGTCCAAAAATGCACGAAATGCACTTGTAGGATGAAACTAACAAGTCGACCAACCTCTAATGCGAATTGTTTGTTCTACCGACCCTGTTAACGTAAAACTAACAGATTCGTTTAACGAGAGACATATTGACCTCCAAATAACTGTCAGTTGTTAGTGCCTTTTGTCATCTCCAAATTACATATGTGAGGAATGATGAGATGTTATGTCTAATGAGCTCCGTATGTGTTTGTTAGCCAGATGGTGTTGCTCAGCACCCGAGTAAAATTAGCAGAACAAGGAATTATCTGAGAAAATTGCGTTCGTTAGTTCAGAAGGTTGATAAGAGAGAAGACAAAATGGGTATACCCTAACACCAAAAAGGGAGCACAAAATGCCAGCCAGTTACGAAGATATTGGACTGTCTGTGAACTAAGAGCAGTACTTCACACTGGTCTGTTGATACCTTTCGTAGTTCTCTTTGTTTCATAGGCCTAGGTGGTTTTGAGCGCGTGCACTCAAAGGGCAGCGCTCAAGGTGTATCGCGACACATATTTGCGTTACTTTTTCATTTCTGCTTTTTGCACAGCCAAAATTCGAAATTAATTATAAATAAATTTGAAATTTCATTCTCCGTTTTCACAATTAGGTGAGAAGGGTTTTTTTTATTTTGCGGTACATGGTATCGTGAAGTCCTTGAAAATTCATTATTCAGGTCCACTTGGCGTCAACTGTCGTCTTGAAGGATCTACAGGAAAATATTCTTCTGTGCAAGGATGTTTGTGCACGGTCTTGATATAGGTGACTTTTAGCTCACCATTTACTGCACGCACCCAAAATCCAGATTGGCAATGGCAATATTTCGAAACAAAACATACGTAGATGACCGACGTCGTCTTCTTTGTCTAGGTTGTGGTTGTGAGTTAGGAGTTGTATGCTCTTCAGAAGAATGGTGATCACTACCATCATCTACATCCTGAACGCAAGCATCTGACTCGGATGAACTGAATTTACGTCCATATGTACAGACATATCTCACAAAAAATACTTTAGAGATGGGTCATCATTGTTCTTTATACATAATGAAATAACGTACTTAGTATGCGTATACTAAAAAAATAATTATTAACCACAGAAGTCATATTACCTTATGACCTATTTAAACAGGTCTCAATATTGTCCCAACTTGTAAATCGTCAAGATAACATAATATCATTGAAGATTCGTCTTACATCATGCATCATCACGATGGCATCGTCTTCGTTACTTGAAGGGTGGACGTTATCGGACATGGTGTGGCTGAACTCAATTCAAATTCAAAAATATTTTGATTTGACCGCTTCTGAAAATTTTCACGAAGTGTCGATGTGACGCACCAATCATCTCGCGACAGTTCGACCTTCAAGTGCTCACAACCTCCACGAGCGAACGGTACCCGTGAAGCGTTGCCTGAGAGCGTTGTGATGTAATAGGCTTACTTAAGCGATTTCCCAAGAATATAGTGAGTCCCTAGTAATTTTTTGGTTATCTGCATAATGATGTACAATTACTGACTGGAGCTTATGTAAATTTCTGTACTGGTTTTGTTTTTTGTAATCCCGTGTTTTTTTAAAGGGACAAACATCTAAAACCTAATAATAATTGACTGACGAGCTGTTACGTGAAACCTACCGTTACATCGTTAGTACATCGGAACTCGTTCTTTCTCGTAATTCGGCTACTTCGTGTTCACTGAGTCATCGTTCGTGTATACGTAATAGACTGCTGAACCACCAAACGTACGTACTGAAGTACACTTCAGTCTTTCCCCACAGTTTACTGAAAACAACTTACTTGTAAGTTATACACAGCTTTTACAGGCTAAGTAGTTCAGCTAACTCAGATGGTCACTGTGGACTTTTTAAGTACATTCTCTCGGCTTCCTAAACTTATCGTGTTCGATCTCGGTAGGAAAAACAGTAAAGTTAACTTCATCTCTAGACTTCACTCTATGGCCTCTGTGGTGCGACACTCACGTTTATCCTCCATTCATACGAAAGTGAGGCTCGTATAATTTTTTTTCATGATCGGTAATTTGTTAGAAATAACACTGTATACGATGCTAGTGAGAGACGAGTTGATGTCTACTCAGATGCGCAAGTAATATTGAGGTATGAATTTAGTGAGATGTACTGTAATGTATTCACTGCTTTACAGGATGATCAAAGAGTCTTCGAAAATTAAATTGGGATGTGCTTCGCGGTAAGTACTAACCCTATTCATCGTATATTTTACTTGGATGTGTAAGTAACTGTTAGTTATGTCCATAACTGACCGACTAAATCGTTGCTTGAACGCCCACTACGTCAGTCTGGTATGTTGTGTCTGTAGGTTATCCCTGTTGCATATGACCTGCCAATTGAAGGATATTGTTATCGTATTACTTTAGTGTGGCTGGTAATTTTTATTCATTTTAATAAGGCACGCACTACTGGTCGGTTTGTTTGTGCATTTAACTTAACGACTATAATCCCTTTAATTACGGTACTAATCGAGTCGTCTTTGCTTTTAAAAACAGATCAAGTTTAAAGCCAAGTTGTCCTTGTCCTGACTATAGCTTTCACATAGACTCTGGGGTCGTCAGTATTGCGTTCACAGTTCTAGTAGAATATCTGTAAGATATATTAAATCCTACAGTAATTATCGGTAAGACTGTAATTTATGGACAACCTTTGGGCAACGTTAAAATGGCCTTAGGATGTCCTAATTACTAGGGTTAAATGAGAGTTATGTATGTATGTATGAGGGATTAAAATTAGGATTTACATTTGAATGTTAGGTTTAGGAACTAGATTTAATGTTTTTATCACGAACCAATATAAGTTGTAATGCCAAAATGGTATTTAGCCAAATGAGTAGATAAATTTTGCTTCAAAGTCCAAGATATGTTGTCTTGTATGTGATTGGTCCATCCCTAAGTTATAGTATCGCCGAATTGAGATTTGTGTTTTAAACAACCTCGTATCACCATTCCAATATATCTTGACAACCACCCTCATTACTCTGGTTTTATTCTTTACTAGCCTATCAATGAGTTTGATTTAATGCTATAACAAAAACAGTTTATAATTAAGACTAAAGTGAACATTTGCTGTTTCATATTTGAGCGTTCTCTTCACATCAATAGCTAGCCAGTTTTTTTGTTACACCACAAGAAGTAATTATTGTTTACGATCCCAACATTTCTTTCATATTTTATGTCCAGTTATCATTGGTTCCGGTTTTATGTACTGATTTCTTGTGGAAATGATCCATATACACTAGTCAAGTAGTAGATAGTTTTTTTTGTTGTCCAATCATTTTTGCTAGGTTTCTGTTGGCTTTTGTGATATGATTACCCTATTAGCCATCTAAAGGTAACTGCTTAATGATTTTTCTGGTTAATGATTACTCATAGAACGACGTAAACTCTTGTTTTAAGGATAATATTGCATTGAAAAATCTAGTTGATGCTGTTTTGAAATGTCATTCATTATTATAGGAAAGTCTTGAATGGAGTTTCACACTTTTAGCATGGCATCATACTTCCCAATAATTCAGGTAATCTTTGTAGTACGCACACATGTCAGCAAATTAGATCAAAATTCAGTAAATTGTATCAACAAAAGTAGAATTTCAACCTATACTAACAGTGATCTAAGCATCATACCCATCTCAAACGTTAGTGGCCATCTGAACTCAGTAGCTCAGTGAATAATGTGTTAAGGGCTTGAAGCGAAAGGTATTGGGTTCGAGTCCTGTTGCGGAGATCGGAATCAGGAGCAGGCACATCCAGCTCTCGAGTCTCAAAAAGGGTAAGATATGTACCCCAAACTTCACTGCTAGCTACACTTCATCTATTCTATAATTCAGGATAGTCCATATGCACGTATCAAATATATAGCACATCTGATTTCGAAGTGAAGTGCAAATATACATAATAGGTCGTTAAGCACATGGATAGTTAGGCATGACATGGAATCTGAAGGAAAATTCTGATACTTCACTTTGCATCACATACATTTAAAATGAGGATATTGGTAAAGAATCAATAAACTAGGAGTGAATAAATCAGTGTTGAGTGAAGAATGACAGTAACTAGTGATTATTAGGAGTATTTAAATTATTGTACAAACCAGGAATCCCAAGAATAACGCGACTTAACTAAGGAGTATTAGATAAGCATAAACGAACGTATTGTATTTGGGATTCGGAATCAGACAGTCATCAAGCATAAAGACCCCCAAATGCCCTCGTACGTATGAGGGTGGGGAAAGTCAGCTCTCCCTCAAGAAATGCTCTCACATGGCTACGCGTATACAGCCACTCCCAGGAAAGCCCTACTCACTGCTTTCTCGTGGCGCGGGTGTTGTTTACGAAATTGAGAGGATGGGAAGCGAATGTCCAGCGCTTTAATCGGGTTGGTGGACATGGAGAGTCCAGGACACAGGTGAGTCCGTCTTGATTTCGATTGTTAATTCTAATACTAATGAGTACATTCTAGATAATACATAGTCTACATCCAATGCACTGTCGAACAGGATGAACTTAAGGAGAAGACGTACAATCGATTACAGAAACTTAGACTCCAATTTAAGCTATGGCGAATGTGGTGTTTGTATGAATTAACGATTCATTTGTAATTGTTTATTATTATTTCTTTATTTGATCACATAAACATTGGCACGAAAGGGTACTGAGCACATGTGCGCCATACAAGTCACTTGATTTGTTTATTTGCTGTGATACTGCCTGGGTGCCCAGACAAAAGCGGGTGATTTTCTCAGGTCACACCCGGAGCCTTCGACTTAAAGGTCTAGTCTGCAAGGCGCTGGCAACATCAGAAGACTCAGTTACATGGTAGCCGGTGACCAACGATTGGTTCATGCGCCATTTGTTTCCTCAGGATCATGGAGCCCATGTGACCATTGGTTTGTAATCAGGGTTCTCCAACTCCCTAGGTGAACTCTCCATGTCCACCAACCCGGTTAAAGCGCTGGACATTCGCTTTCCATCCTCTCAATTTCGTAAACAACACCCGCGCCACGAGAAAGCAGTGAGTATGGCTTTCCTGGAAGTGGCTGTATACGCGTAGCCATGGGAGAGCATTTCTTGAGGGAGAGCTGAATTTCTCCACCCTCAGCCGTACTATTTGGGGGCAGTAATTTCCTGAGAGTTACATAAGGAAGTGAAATAGGCTTCTCTGGAAATGCCGAAGTTTTTAATAAGTTGTTGATTTCTTTTCCAATGAATGCAAGGAAATTAGCCACAATGTTAACATCCTCAACATCGTCCTTGGTCATAGCCCAGATTTCGAATCTTTCCATGTAATGTTCAAAAGCATGGAAATTCGAATGTATGTCCGATTGTCTCATCACAGGCTCCATCGCGACGCCAATGTGATTGTTAGGAGTATTTAGATTATTGTACAAATTAGGAATCCCAGAAGTAACGCAATTGTACCGTGACGAATTAGATGAACACGAACGTATCGTATATGGAATTCGAAATTAGACAGTCATCAAGTACAAAAGAATCATTAGTTCATACAAACACCACACTAGTTTTCAAATTTATTACCTTAGATTTTAAACAGTTGATTTCTAGGATCTCGTATATTTTTGTTAAATGGCTTGCATTTGTTTAAACTGGTCATTTAGTTAGTCATAGACTATTACATATCACAAAGTCAGTTAATAGTATATGGTTTCATCTCCCCAACTTCTTTACTAACGATTTTTGGATATCACGATAATAATGTGTACCGTCTAGAAAAGTGGAATGCCACATAAACTTAATATCTTTTAGATTAAATATCGTAATTACACTATAAAGTGCTGTTAGTATAAACCATTCAGTTAACACCCTCCAAGCTCTAAAACCCTGTCAAGAAATACGTATAAGTTTTTCCAATTTTACTTTTCAAGCTGCATAAAGTAGGTGTTTATGTTGTGCGAAACGGCAATAAAAGCTCTATTAGTAAACTGTCTAGATCTGAAAACTCAGCATTACCGAAATAATCCAACTATGTATCAAAAAATTATAGACCTTACAATTTTTAAAAAAAGCTATCTATTAAGTTAATTATTTTGTTTTTATGTAATTATTTTATTTAAATCTGGTTCTCTGTCATGCTATGAAATAATTAAGTTTATTATATAAGATGAAACTATATTCTTTTGTTTGGACTGATATCTCAGGTTTTGAAGATCGTTTTCGAATAAAAATAATTTATAAACATTAACATGTAGTTTACGTAATTTTACATAAATAAAAATATTTAACAGTTTAGATAACTACTTTATGGCAGTGAAACATGGCTGGTAGGAGTAGAGGATATTCGTAAGTTACTAGTATTCGATCATAGATGTCTTCGAAGCATTGCTCGTATATCCTGGGACCATCGAGTAAGTAATTCAGGTGTTAGGAAACGGGTACTAGGTAAGGATGGAAAATCAATTGGTGAAGTAGTGAAACTCCATCAGTTGAGATGGCTGGAACATGTGCTACGTATTTCCAACCACCGACTGCATTGACGAGCGATGTTTTATGGTGTAGGAGTAAGTTGGAAGAAAGCTAGTGGTGGTCAGACCAAAACATGGTGTGGTACGTACTACTTATATTGATATAAGTAGTATATGACGCGAGTTAGGAACGTAATGTCTGGCAGCAGAAGATGGGGGAAGATCAAGAAAGGGAAAGCGGGAACACGATGCAATTTGTATGAGGACGCATGAACAATGAAATGTGAGACAACGGATTTATGTTTGCAACAGAAACAGTCCAGTTTGGTATGACGGATTGATATTTTGCAAATTAACGATTTGCTATATGGTTCTCAGATTTAATTGAGATGGTCCCCACTGGTGTTCTTGTTCACTACAATGGCACAAATCCATGAAGTTATTGAAAGTGGACTGAACCATGTTGGTAGGCGTAGACTATCTGGTTGGAATCCGCGAGATGATAGCAACCGATGGTTAGAGACCTTGAATATCATGGCTCAAAATCGTTTGCAATGGTGTGCGAAGGTGCATCCACTCTTTGTGTTCTGCCAAATTCTAATCTTCTGAATTCTTCATGTCCCTTTTTATTCTCTTTCCAAACTTATTTCACTGGATTATACTCCTTGAATAACATCTTCAAACCCTAATGTTTCCGATTACTGCTTATACTTTTACTACCTCTACCACTATGGGATTTGAATCGACAGTTGTATCTATGTGGTGATGTGGTATGGCAACTCGAACTGATGTACGTACGTACGAAGTTCTTCGTTGTTGTTGACTGACTGAGATAACTAATACTTTTTTGATTGTATTCGATCTGTTGAAGTCTTTCTCTGTATAATAATTAAATTATAAGGCCTAGTTGCATGGATTAATTGACTTTTCTAATACAAGGAAGCTTCTTTCTTTTATGAATGTATCTACATTCGTTTGAATAAATGTTTGCCGGGTATCATTTTCTTAATAATAAATCATTCTCTCTGATATCTTATTTGATATTATGATAGTTTTTTATCCAGGCGTAAATCACTGCTTTTTTATCCTATATTTGTCATCTTTTTTCAGTACTTCTGCTGTAAATGTTGCTCGACAACTTCTACAAGCTCTTAATTGGTCGGATTTATTTGATTACACAGAAATCTACCCTGGGTCTAAAACTGCTCACTTTAAGAGGTATGTATTAATTGGTTTCACATTTAATTTTTTTAAATACAGATAAGATCCTAAGAAGGTATAATTTCGAAAAGATTTGTTTTCAGATGACTAAATAAACAACGTTTCAGTTGCTTAGAACAAGTCTAGGATCAGAAAGTTTAAAAAACGTATTTTACATCTCTATCTAGGCGATTGTTCGAAGACCGCATAGTTCAGTATCTATAGCTATAGACAAACACCACCCTATGAAGTTCAGTCTGAAATTTAGTGTACTGTTTTAGTTTGGCAGCTCAGTAATTATCCAGCATTGTGCTTTTGGGTATTCTACTTCTTTTTTAGTCAAATTGGTTTATGTTTAAGCTGTTTGTTGCGGTAGTTAACCCTTCCTCGGCTTGAAATTTTCTGATAAATATATGGCCAGCAAACGCATTTCACACACAAAGCATACTTTGTGTAATATATTGGATACATAAAAATTGTCTGCTCTGGCCCTTATCGGACTCGGTTACTTGGATTACCTGATAACACTATTTCATCTAAATAGTTCTCAAATCAGAACACAACTGGAACAGGAAATTAATTATATTCCAAAAACAAAACAACTGACCAAGTTGAAGTTTCAGTAAGAAAACTTCTAATGTATTGATAATTTTTGTACAGGAAGATTCTAGAGTCTTCTCCATTTATCTGCTTGGAGTCATTGGATGGGAATGGGCCAATCAGCATGCCCCAACATAATCGTGTATGGAACATGCTTTTAATATATTCTTTTTCCTGTTAACAAGGGCCGATCGATAAAAGTCCTGACACTACTTTAATTAGAACCTACCTTTCAGCCAAACTAGTAATCCTCAATCAATTCAACTAATGGTTGATAGGCACCTCTTTCTTCTTATCTTCAAACATTTTCCAGAATTATTCTCGAAATAAATAAAAACCTTTCACATCAGTCAGTCATGCGTAATGTAAAAGCCTGGCAAATATGTGCATCGGCTCACATTATCAAACTACATTACCACAGTAGAATAAAATTACCAGGAAAAATTCCATAGTAAAGAAAGTTGTAACGGTATTGGTAGTAGTAGTAGTAGTAGTAGAAAAGGTTAGGTATAGATAATATAATTCGAGAATAACAAATAAATTTTCAGAATATAGAGTATAGAGTAATGTAAAGCGAAGACAAAGAATGAATGCACATACTCCATTACAAATGATTCTGAGCCATACCACTTAAAATCTCCAACTATTGTTCACGATGATCGTGTAAACCCTAATCTAGTATTCTGGACCTGTGTACTTACATAGTTTAGTTCAGTTGACAATGATTTCTTGAATTAATAACATATTTTAGTTTGACCATCTTTCACTTTCTTCAAACCTACTTGTACATTAGTCACTACCTTCAATTATAATCTATTTTTTTATTTACTCTATATATTTTTTAGATTTCATGAATTATCTGGTATAGACTATGCGGACATGTTATTTTTCGATGATGAAACTCGTAATATTCATGAAATTTCCAAATTAGGTGTACAATGTCATTTAGTTCAACATGGAATAACATTAAATCTCTTAGAGGATGCATTAAGAAAATTTCAACAACAAAGAAGAATTCATGAATATTTAAATTAACTAAGTTTTTTTAATTGTAGTTATTCCGTAAATGCAAAATTATTATTATTTTTTAAAGAATAAATTGTTTTGTTTCTGTGTTTTGAAGAATTACATTGTATTTTTGTAATGAACCTGCTATAGAGTGGTATATTACTCTTAAAAATCAGTAGTAAATTGTAGTAGTATTTAATGGAAAATACAGTTCATTTAGGAAAAAAATATTAACAGAAAGAATCTTTTTATTCAAAGAAGTTTCACTTTAATGAAGAGTACTAGAAGAACAGAGCTACGATAGTATTAGTGTAGGTTTGTATTTTGAACCATGTCCGATAACATCTTAAGCCGATGAAGTTCGACTATATCTCAGAATTTAGCCAGGAAGTTGTAATAGACCTAAACATTTTTCTTCCATACCTCTGTGCCATGCAATAAACTATCTTTCTGATTTTTTCTAACCGACATCAGCGTTTGCAATAATGGTCGACATGAAAGTTGCTGAGGTGACATTTGTAGTACATCTTCAAGGCAGTCCGCACAAGATGCACGTATGTCACATTGCAAGTGGAAATAAGTGAATTAAATTCATTTTGTTCATCGACTATTCTTACTACTTGGGCAAGAAAGTTGCAAACATTTACTCCAAAATTTATATACCCAATACAATTAGAAGTGCTGCGTTTACAGTCATTTAGTTATCACTAATATATGTGGTCGATGAAGTAGAGTTAATTTTTTGGCAGCACAGCTGAATATCAGCTCGGAAGGAAATAGTTTTTAATAATTTGTAATTTTACATATTCATAAATAGTTCACTGACGAATTCATCCTAATCAATGGCAGATGTAATACTATTTTGTATTCGGCTTCCGTTGAAATACCTGACTAGTCGAATATTCTGTCAAATATTTAAATAATTAAATTATTTCGAGGTTTTCTGAATTTCTGGTAACTTCGTTGAAAATATGATTTTATCTTTTAGCTACTGACAAATTATAAGTAGTTATAAAGGTTTAAGCTTTATTTTATATGGGTCAATCATTTTTTATGCTGAAAAATACAATTAGGTTGAACAAATAAACTAATCAACACTTTGTAAAATATTATTGCTAATAATAATTTGCGAATTATTTATCTTATTCGTAGCAGAGAGTCATTACTATACCCTTAAGACGTAGAATGTTGATTATATCACGAAGATAGAAATCCATCGAAAACGAGAAGTGTTCTTAACACCAATAACATTTAATAAACCCCGTTAATCTCTTATACTGTTGGTTATCATATTTTTACTAATGAACAATCGCAGAAGTTAGTTCTGGAATTCTAATGAGAAGCCATGATTGGTGAAATTGACATGTATCGGGTGTACGGCAGTTATTCACAGATGACATTAGGAAATGATCGAGCAACATCGTGAAATCAATGCAGTTAACATCGTACAACATTCGATTCCGACTCGATAAACTAGATGTTAAAGGTTCGTGAGTAATACCACAAGTTATGGGTTTGACCCTTGGTGAGATTTTGTATGTGCACTGGTCAAGTCAGAAAGGAAGAATTGAACACACTTAAAGGTATTATATTTAACAATTTGCATTAAGCACAAAAAATATATAAAGGGATAATCGTTTAGCATGAACAACAGAAGGACTTTTATGTGAGTTACCTTACAGGTGCATCTGTAATTTGTATATATCAATTGTTCAGTTAGCATGGAATAAGTGAGTTTACTCAATATGAAGATATAATTTCATCATTCAAGACAAATAACTAAAATGATTACCAAGTGCAAGTGTACTAGTAAAATTTATTCGACTGTCACCAGGTGAATTTCAAGTCTTTCAATATTTTCTATTGTACACATCTATATGTATATGAACATATTTAGCTAAACTGTTGTATTCGATACACTTGAATCACGTGTATTGTCAGAAACTTTTATCACGTCATAGTTTTAATATCAAATTTCCGGAAGATTTGTCCATGTATATGTTTATCGATAAGGGCAGGGAACTAGATACAACTAAGTGTCTGAATGTTATAGTAATCATTGTTAATATGTAAAGGCTTGTGACTCTAACTCCTCCTTCCCTAACTGACTACTTGAGCGAGAACACAAGAGTGAGCGAGAAAATGTATTCGACTATTCAATAAAGTGCATAAATACTCATGTATATATATATGTTCATTGTTTTTCGAAAACACTTAACTTTGTAACATTACCGTAGAGTCCACTGACATGAATTAGTTAGTTAGAACTTATTTTTGTTCGCGGTTGTGAAATTCATGTATAGGTATGTTGTTAGAGAAATAAGAATAAGTGACATTCTTATTAATGCCATTGAATAACGACTCAGTGGTCTAGAGGTTAAATGTCCGCACGCGAGACTGAAGGTCTCGGATTCGAGTCCGGTGAACATTAGGGCTTTGAAGATGTTATTTAAGGAGAATAATCCAGTGAAATGAATCTGGAAAGAGAATAAAAAGGGACATAAAGAATTCAGAAGATTAGAATTCGGGAGGACAAGAAGAGTGGATTCACCTGCGCATACCACTGCAAACGATTTTGAGCCATGATATCCAAGGTCTCTAATCATCGGTTACTATCATCTTGCGGACCCCCGGAACCAGATAGTCTACCTCTACCAACATGGTGTAGTCCACTTTTAGTGACTTCATGGATTTGTGCCATGTTTTGGTCTGGCCGCCCCTAGCTTTCTTCCAATCTACTCCTATACAAAAAAATATCGCACGTCGAGGCAGTCGGTGGTTGGAGATACGTAACACGTGTCCCAGTTATCTTAACTGATGAAGTTTCACTACTTCACCAATTGATTTGCCATCCTTACCTAGTACCCGTTTCCTAACAACTGCATTATTTACTCGGTGGTCCCAGGATATGCGAGCGATGCCTATGATCGAATACTAGTAACCTACGAATATCCTCTACTCCTACCAGCCATGTTTCACTGCCATAAAGTAGGACGGGACGAACTGCTGCGCAGTAAACACGTCCTTTGGTTGATAGACGGATATCTCGCCTACGCCATAAATGACGCAAGTTGGCAAAAGCTAGTCGAGCCTTCTGTATCCGTGCTGAGATTTCGTCACACACCAGGCCACAAGGGCTGATGTGACTTCCAAGATAAGTGAAGTGGTCGACACGCTCAACTACTTCACTCCCTATCATTAGTTCGGGTGTCGATGCAACCTAATCCTGAAGCAAAATTTTGCATTTCGAGGGAGAAAATCGCATTTCGAACATGCTTGCATTGTTGCTTAGAGTGGTCAGAAGACTGCATTTTGTCAGCGTCTTCACAAAATAGAACTATGTCATCGCTATATTCTAGGTCGTGGATGTACACTTTTCATGAGTCTCATACTAGAACGAAATGACCATTCATTGCTACCAGGTTTTCAATGGTGGTCTAACTTCAATTAACTCATGAATTCAACATTTGAAATTATGATCATCTTCACAAACCTCATTCTGATTTATTTATTCATTTTATTTTGTTTACGTGTTATTTTAAAACAATCAAACAAATTCTTAAATTAACATTAAACATTAATTAACATTTAAGATAATAAATGAGATTATTTAATGTTACACTGTTTTGTTTTTTTAAATTAACGAATAAACTATCATACAATGATGATAACAGGAAGTGTCCTGTTAATTATCTTACTAATAATTTATACTACTGATATTATTACCATTAGTAGTATTATTATGTCAAATAATTCTGATAGATGAATAGATAAAGAAAACACATATAGATGTATTATTTATTGACTAATGAACATATTTATTTATTTATTTATTTATTATTTTTATTACTGTTGAGTTATTTTAAAGAAACAAATCATCTAATGTTATTATTATCTTACTGTTAATATCATTTTGTGATGGAGTAGTCAATTGATGATACAGTTCATGTCACAAAATTTCGTAAAAAGATGATCAATCATAAAAGAAAAATTAGTCTATCAGATTAAAGTAATTTTTATTCAATTAACTTTTAATATATTCTCGATGGATTTATGTAGTCAGAGTGAAGTTTACTCTTTAATCAGGGAGTGAACCTGGGTTCGTTGTCCTCGCATACGAACACTTATTCCCTTAGAACTCTGAGCCAGAATCTAGTAGTCTATAAGTCTAGCTTCAATTAACTTATATCTTAATTTCGTGAAAGGTAGCCACCCAAGACAATGGTAGATGATCGCGCGATATCATAGATAGTTAGATTTATACACCGTTGGATTCTGACTCAATGGTCTAGAAGTTAAGTATTTGCGCGTGTGATCAAAAGTCATTGGTTCAATTCTTGTCTGCTGTATTGTTGCAGCATACTGTAGAGTATTCCCTAACTAAAACTACATGACTATCCAGTGTCTCACAGATTTTTAATGGTTGTCTAATCTAGATCGATTTGTAATTTCGATGACATTCAACAATTTTCACAAGCACATACTCAAAGTCAATATGTAATTGATTTAACTCAAATGCAACTTAATGCTTCTAAAAGTACCGTTCAATAAAAGCTTTTATATGACGTCGGACTTTTCATGTTAGTCAGCGTGAAAGGAAGAAGAGGATAAATGCAACCCTATTCGTTGCATAAAGGTTGGAGTTGCTAAAGATCAGGTAAGTAAAATGGAATCAGTGATGGTAAAGATAACTATCCGATTTCTTTTAAGATTAATAAATTTTATTAATCAGTTCAATTAGGAAACAACAACCGATAATACAAACTGGGCAAATTCCCGACTTCTACTTCGTTCTAATTAGGAACCCTTTATCAACTTTCATCCATAACCCTACTTGAAATTAAACATATCACGAGGAAAGCTAGTACACTTTTATATCGCCAAGTCGAAACTCATTGACTCTTAAATTCACTTGGAATTGTTTACTTGAACCTTCTCATTGATGTTTAGGACTGAAATAGATCAGTCTCTTATCGGCAAATGTGCATATTAAGCGTATTGACTCGATATGGCCTTAATTCAAAAGCATTAT